TCTCTCTGCAGCTCTATTTCCATGCTCTTTTGCATAACTGATTGCATTCAATCACAAGTGAAACTGCCGATAGCTTGTCTCTGCAAACAGACTTCCTCCAATTGGTTTGTTCAGCGTCAGCTGATGTCAGTTACATCAGGCTTGTGATTGGAAGAAGTCTGTTTGCAGAGACAGTATGGGCAGTTTCACTCGTAATTGGAGGCTCATGATTGGAGGAAGCAATAGGAGGAAGCCTGTTTGCAGAGACAAAGTATGGGCAGTTTTGCAACCGCGTGGTTCTCTCATGATTGGAGGAAGCAATAGGAGGAAGCCTGTTTGCAGAGACAGTATGGGCAGTTTCACTCGTAATTGGAGGCTCATGATTGGACGAAGCAATAGGCGGAAGCCTGCTTGCAGAGACAAAGTATGGGCAGTTTTGCAACCGCGTGGTTCTCTCCTTGGCTTACTTCCTTGCATAAGACACCCTTCAATTCTTAGTGTAAGGATTTTAGAAAAAAGTATCGTCTTATAGTCGGAAAAATACAGTATATAGAACTCTGAGATTGCTGTGTGGGATTTCAGCAAATAAGCATACAAGAACCACCCAAGGTGAGATAGACTTTTGCTCAGCAACAAAAGGGATCAGGAGAAGCCACCTGGTGAGATACAGGCATATACTGAAAGTGCTATATTCAGGGTCAGAAAGTACCTCCCAGACTACTTGCTATTTTTATGTGTCTGAATCACTAGATAAAAAGAACCACAATTTTTTTTATAGCCTGAACTAAAAATTGTATGTCCATGCATACCTACCCAATTCTAGTTGGCCAGGCTACATTTGAGTTCCAGAAGAAATCCTATACATTTTTATATCTTCCAACAAGGCTTGAGTAGTCCATCAACATTGGCCAGTTCCATCTTGGCACTTTTCTCACACCTCCTGCTAGTTAACAGTATTTACACCTGCCACAAACACCAGACTCTTGGCCATTTACAATAATGATAGCAAACAAAAACAAGGTAAAAGGGTTAAAACATCCACAGTAGGACTAAATACCAAATATGTATATCATAATAATTACAATAATCCAACACAGCCACTATTCACCATAGAAAATTTGGAGCTAACTTTTAAAGACAAATGAATAATAATTCTGCTCTGAATTTGATTAACTTATATGTCCAAATAAATCTGATAATAGTAAACAGATATTTAGAAGAAACATTTAAAGAATTGAAGGCAGTTCAAACTAATTATCTTATACACCTTACATTTTAAATTTTAAAGAAAGTGTAAGGCATCAATAATTGTGTTTATAAAATGAAAACTAGTTATTTTATGAAGAACTTTAAGGACCCTAGTCAATTGTATCAATCACTGAAACATAATCCACAATTAAGAGGTAGAGGTATGTAAAACCATACTAGATCATCTAACATCTCCTGCCAAGGAACATGGGAGAACTGCAAAACAATGAAGAAAACACAATCAAGTCAGAATATAAATCAACATTCCTATATGTATCCATTGGGGGAGGAGCAAACACCTTACTATTAGCACCCTCCAATACCTGCTTATATTTTCTTAATTTTATCAGCTATTTTGTTTTACTTTATTAGAACCTGAAATTATCTGTATGGCTAGACCTTAATCATTACTGGCTAAGAACTCTATTTACACTCCTCCACATAAGATAATACAATGGAAGAAAAAAGAAATGACCAACCATGAATTCTGTGGTGCTTATGTATGTACCTATTTTAATTGACAAAAGGAGAGATAAGCTAAGGAATAGAAAGAAAAATTCACTGGGTCATCAGCTATCTTTTAATCAATTATAGTGAATGAAATAAAACATTTTTTCAAAACTGTCACATTAAGAAATTACTGAGCATCACCAAATACTTTTACTTTTCAGTGATATATCTTCAAACTTGAATCAAGTTCCTTAGAATGTACTAGGAGTTCACTGAAGTGAAGCACTTTGGATACCATCTCATGATTCTTCCTGAGAAATTAATGCGAGTGTTTAGAAGTGCCACTGAAGTCTATAAAAAGTCAAAATATGTTTGGCACACTAATAATTTCAAAATAGCCTTATAAAATGTTTTTACCTGCCTCAACTTGGGAATGGAATGGTATTTTCCCCCATCCTTCAGAAACCATTGTACTTAATTCCTATATTTGTTACTGATTCATTATATCATACATTAATTCCTTTATTATGTTGCTCATATCATACAGATCTTTGGAAAATAGTTGTCCCAAACACTTAATTGTATCTCAACATTTTAGAAATCCATTGTAAATAAAAGGAAAACATGAACCCATCTATCACACAAAGGAATAAACAGAAAGGTAGAAAAGATGAGTCAAAGCGAGTAATATACTGCATACAAACTAACAGTATGTTATCACAGTGCAGTTCCAATGGTCAAAAAAGCATATGGTGCCTACTCTCCTCACCACTTCTTTACAAGTGAACATTTTTTTTATTTTTGCAACTCCACAATAACAGCAGCAACAAAATTATTCAAATCATACTGATAATATCTAGCATACAAAAATCAGTTCATATGTATACCAAAAAAAATCTCTAGCAGAGATATCCTGAGGAAACTAATTCCCTATGGGTCTCTACACCAGACTGTAACATTATTCAGAATTTAGCATACCTTAAAGCTCACTACTTTAAAACATGCATGAAATTCAGAAGCAACATAGCACCTGCTCTAGAATTAATTCTAGGCAATTCTAGTTTAAAAAGACTTCAGGCAGCCAGTGTTTACTCAGACAACACATGTAGAACAATACTCAGACTCTAAACAAGGAAATACCATATATTCAGCAAAAGAAATACAAGGAGCTTCGTTACATCAGAAGAGTTCTAATTATGGCAAGGCAGTGTTAATAGTTGAAGTGTTAATAGAAGTCGGAGGGGGGAGGGGGGAGGGGGGAATATGAGCACTTGGATTTAATCAGAAGGGCTGACAAGACTTCAACAGCTTACCAGAAAAGTACTGGCCAACAAGGGCCGGATGAAGGCTTACCTGGCCGTATCAAGCAATGGGTGCTTGGTTCCCACCAATTTGCGCACCTGCATGGCGATGTTGCTCAGCTCGTCGCTCAGGAGGCACCGGAGGCTCATGAAAGAGGTCGGGTAGCCCACAATCTTCTCGGCCTCCGAAACCACTTTGCTCCAATGGGAAGCCGAAGAAGGCGACGGAGAGGCAAAGAAGAGGCGTTGCCGCCGCCCGGGCTTTCCCCCTCCTTCGGCCCAGAAGCGGGCAAGTATCCGGGAGCAACTTTTAGCACAAGGCGACAGCAACACGGGGCGCATCATCACTTCCAAGAAGCCAAAGTCACCAATGCGGCCCTTGCTGCTACCTGGCTGTCTCCAAATTGTACCTGTACAATGCACAAGCAGGACCCGCTACAGTTTTGATCATCCGCCCTCTGCCTACACCTTCAGAGTATCAAGTCCTACTCCAACCTCCTACTAGCTCCTGCTTTTCTCCACTCTACCTCTCATATTTATGCGTGCCTCACGTTCCGCCCCGCTCCTTCTTGGAATCTTCTCCGTCTACCACAGAGCAGACTAGTTAGGGCTACTACCGCTTCATAAACTCCTTGAAGTCGGCGGGTGGAAACTCTAAGTAGCCGTCCCGGCACTGAAACGGCACGCTAATCTCACGGAGGCAGCCATTTTAAGTGTCGCAAAATGACAGAGAGGGAATCGAGGAAGTTGCACTTTTGCACCGTTTCTTTACGTTACAGTATTGCCAGGGAGTACAGTAATCTCTGGAGGAAACCGAGTAGTTGGTGTAGTTCGTAAGCAGTGTGCTCCGAGTACCAAATTGCCTTAGGTCTGGTCCTCAAGGCTGGCCGTAAAGCGGAGCATAACATTCGTGATTCCTAAAGTGCGATCTCCAATCCGGTTGTAGAGTTGGAATTCTGAAGTTAATCTCATTCATTGACTTCTACTAAGAACTGCCACCTCTTCTTCTGTACGAACGTCACATAAGAGGAATGCAATGAGGAACCATCGTCAGATCGCGGGCATTTTTGAACCCATCCAGTTAGCTGGGATTTTAGTTTCATTGACCCGCTAAATAACTTGTGGTTAAAGAAAATAGCCCTCGTTCCAGGATCTTAATTTTGAATATTACAGTTATGTACACGTTTATACCAAAGTAAATCTTTCTTTGTTTAGTGAAACACGTCTCTACGGAAGCATACGTAGAATTATGCTCGTGAAGCACGTTACTATTATTAATTAAATTGTATGCCACCTGACTCCCAGAGACTCTGAGTGGTTACATTTCAGTAAATGTTAGTGAAATCAATTGCACTTAGAATAAAGATAAAATTACAAATTTTCTCATGAGCAACACATTTTCCAGCTCAAAATTAAGAGTTATTGTTAATGATGGAAAGTTTTTTTTAAAAAATGTTATAGCATACCCATATTATTATTACATTAATAATGTGCATTACTTATGTATAAGATCCTTTAAGTTCAAATAGCCTTAGTTCCTCGTAAGTGACCATAGGATTGTAGGCTTTCCTGGAGCTGGCCCTATTGTTAAAGAATAAGGTAGCTGCTGGGCTGGGTTTGCATGAATACTAAACCATAAACTAGCCATCCATTATTTTAGCATAGCATGTCATAGGAACCCACTCTGTATAGTTAATTTATGGTTATATGTGTCACATGATCCTGAAAATTTGTTAATTAAGTACATCATAGTTAAATGTGTTATGCAAACACAGCTGGATATGTTTGTTAAGCAATTGGCAGTGGCACACAACCGGGGCTTATTTCTACCAAGGTACTTTGCTGATATAATGGAGAATAATGCCCTGTTAAGAAGTGTTGTTTATAAAAATATGTAACAGTCCCAGGAATAAAACTATACAGAGAAAAGGATGTGACTCACTTATAGTACATATACTTGAGTTTTATAGGAGATTCTGCTAGTCATTCCAATTCTTTCTTCTTGGCTGGTAGCCTCAAAATTTGAGCAAATCAGATGTCATTTTGAAGTTATTTGGATTTTCTTTAATATTAAGCTCAAGCAAGAAAAATAAAATAGAAACCTTTCCTAAGTTTCACTTTTCTTTTTTTAAGCCTCTCCAAGATGATTTTGAAAAATAAAGCAGAAGATTTAGTTTAGAGACAAATATGTTTGGAGTGCTATTATGGCCAATGACTTACCATGGGGAATCATTGCTGTAACTTCTAACAAATGCTCCAAACTGATTTATTTTAATGGAATGGAAAGAACTTATCTTCATCTACAATGAAATATCTGCATATTAAACATAGAAACATACACATGATGGCTGCCTTTGTTATTGATCTGCAGATTATTAAAGGAAGCTATTTGAATTCTTTATTAAGTTAAACCCTAAAATAACAGAATAGCAACATTGAAACAAGAATGTCTAATACACTTTTGGGTCAAATTTAATATTAGATCTGCTTAGTTACAATTTTCTTCACTGACAACATGGTTATTAGGATGGACCTTGCTTCAGAAATGAGCTGGAAGAAACATTTTGGACCTTGAAAACATTCCAACACTTTGCTGTAAAGCCTACACTGTGTGCACAATTACTAGGCAAGTGAGTATTTTGACCATATCATGTTTATGCATATTTCCACCTCCAAGCTGTAGAAACCTGAATGCTTATTGGATATAAGCATATCAGGTGGTGTGTATTTGTGTAATGAGGGAGG